TAAGGGGTGATCTACCTTGATCTACCAGGGCTTCCCAACTCTGATCTGAGCTCTCGATATATCACCGAGTTGGAGTGGGTTCAGTACACACCAAAAAAGCAAAGTACCAACAGGCTACGCCCTGAGGAGGATTCGAACCTCCATCTTCCCTAGACCTTTGGTGAATGTGTCAAGAATCAGGGATGATCTACAGGGCTTCGTTACACCTATTCGGATTCTGGACTTGCAACTGACTTTCGAGAGGGTGAGGGAATGAAAAGGATGAAAAACCAAAATGAAGTGAAAAAGACGCTGCCAGAGAGATAATGCCTAGGAAGGATTCGAACCTCCACCCACCTCTAAAATGTTGCTAAAGACAGCACACAATTTGGGGGATCTACCTTGATCTACCAGGGCGTTCTAACCCTCATTCGAGCTCTTGATGGATCACCGAGTTGGAGTTACGTACCCAAAAAAAAAGAGTACAGCAAGCTACTCCCTCAGGATTCGAACCGCCATCTTCCCTAGACAATTTTCAAATTAGAACAACATCAAGAATTAGGGACGATCTACCTTGATCCACCAGGGCTTTACTGCACCTACTCGGATTCTGGACTTATGGCTGACTTTCGAGAGGGTGAGGGAATGAAATGGATAAAGAAACCAAAATAAAATATAATAAAAAAGGTACATAGCAGGGAGGACGATGCCCTGGGGAGGATTCGAACCTCCATTCTCCTCTAAAACCTTGCCAGAGAGCACACAATTTGGGGGTGATCTACCTTGATCCACCAGGGCGTTCTAACCCTCATTCGAGCTCTCGATGGATCACCGAGTTGGAGTAACATACAAAAAAAAACTCCGGCCGAGCCCATTTACACCCTGAGGAGGATTCGAACCTCCATCTTCCCTAGACAATTTTTGGCAGTATCATGAATTAGGGATGATCTACGCTGATCCACCAGGGCTTCATTACGCCTATTCGGATTCTGGACTTATGACCGACTTTCGAGAGGGTGAGGGAATGAAAGGAAAAGGATGGAAAACCAAAATAAAGTAAAAAAAGACACTGCCAGAAAGGTAATGTCTAGGGAGGATTCGAACCTCCGTCTTCCTTGATGCAGAATTGGGGTTCAAGGATGATCTGCGTTGATCCTCCGGGGTCAAAGATTCTATCTACGTTGATCCACCAGGGCCTTTCTGACCTGTATCCATCGTCTGATCTCATACGACAGATTGGAAGGGATGGCAAAAACCTAGCAAGAAACACATGCTCCAGGGGGAACTCGAACCCCCGCCCTCCCCATAGATTCTTCAATGAAAGATGGGGTGACCTACGTATAACTCGATCCACCGGGGCTCATATATTGAGATTCGAACCCCGATTTTATCACAATCTTGAGAGCAGGAGGGGGGAAAAAAAAGTCGAAAGGGAAAGAACCAGGAGATGATTCGAACCTCCGACTTGTCCTCAGGCCAGATTCAATCATGCTATTCGTGCGGTTGAGGATGGGGAATCGGGACAGTATGTGCTGAACCACCAGGGTTTATACATACTTGAACGTACACCCTGATTACATTCCGCACACATTTTCGGACCTCCATTTCCCCGTTCAACTTGGGTTGCACCACAAATGAACAAGAACTAGGGATGATCTACCTTATGTATCGATATAATCAACTTCGGAGAGCGTAAACTCCCAAAAAAACCGAGAACACCGAAAAGATCTGCCCCGAGGAGGATTCGAACCTCCGTCTCCCCTAGATTTTCATTTGCGAAATCTGTACCGCAATTGGTAAGGATTAGGGATGATCTACATCGATCCACCGGGGCTAGTATGTCCAGATTGGGATCCTGATTTTATCATAATCTTTAGAGCAGGATAAAAGAGGGAAAGAATTCAATAGTAACGAGAGAGGATCCGTGTCTTCAAGCTAGATTCATTCATGCTATTCATGCTATACATAAGGATAGGGAATCGGACGACATGTGATAAACCACCAGGACTTATATACCTAAACTTACACCTTGATTACATTCCGCCCACATTTTCGGACCTCCATTTCCCCGTTCAACTTGGGTTGCCCGACAAATGAACAAGGACTAGGGATGATCTACTTTGAGGGGATTTCTTATTCTCATTCGGCTCTGAATTTATCGACATCATCAACTTCGGAGAGCGTGAGACACCCCAAAAAACAAGAACACTAAAAAATTATGCCCTGAGGAGGAATCGAACCTCCATCTCCCCTAGACAAGTTTTATTTGCGAATTCTAACCCGAAAGGGATGATCTATCTTGATCCACCAGGGCTTCCTTCTCTTTGACCCATTTTCCTGTACCACTAACGTAAATTCCACACATTTTGAAGTTGAACCCGCAAACCGTGAGAAAGACGCGCCCCTCACATGATGCCGTTGATCCCGGTCCGATCCATTCCGGCTGCTCTCCTCCTTTCATAGCCTTTCAAGGCCCCGGGAAGCTGCCTAAAAGGGTTGTCCCGGCACGTACTAAAATTTCTGGGACGGGTTTGATTGCCGGATTATTTCTGAAGAGGCAGAAGGTTGCGCAAAGGGGCGTAGTAGGTCCTCCGATACTCGGAACCTCCATAGCCTCAAAGCCTGGGGCGCCACAGATGAATTTGTAAAAATTTTCACCAGATGGCCTCCTCAAAAACCTACGGACAAATCCGGGTTTTTCCCACGCCTAGGCTGGGATATCCGCAACAAAAATTATATGGGCATGTAGCCCCATGTCGTCGGTCGAACATGGGCATGATTGCAGCCCAAGCGGGACAGAAATGGGTGGAGGATCAGCGAGATACGTCAAAAAAGTTAGGTTTTGATCGCTCGGACAAGGCTTTGCCGAAGCTTCCCGGGGCCTGCCTTTCATGCTCGGACTCCCAGACACTCAGTCGCTCTTGCTAGTGCTCCTGCTTCGTGTCTAGCTCTCATGCCCACGGTGAATCGCACGGGGACTGTTCTGTCCCATTTCTGGAGGACGTTGGTACGCCTGCCGCATCAATCGAAATCCCAGTCGTCTCATCCGAGTGCACAGTCTTGACCTTTGGATTTCTTTGAACTTGGGGCTGCGCTGAAACACCCGTAATTTTTCACGTATGCTCGCCTCGCCGTCATACTAGTTAATAAAAATGTGTAGCTGATGTACTCGCAGGAACGGATAACGACAATGACAATGACCGAAGCTATGCCCCGCGCGCGCTCGTGCTCCCTCCACGGCTCGCGCTTCATTCAGCGGCACCTCCGAGCTGCAGCGCAAATCCTGCTCCTCCTTGCCATCCACCGACAGACCTCTTCCTCAACTTTAAATGGGTTACACCGCACACCTTCCGCCGCGGACCTCAAGCCGACGACTATACCGCGACGACGGCCAACGTCCTCCTCTCGCACGCCAACTCTCTGTCCTCACCTTCGCCCACTCAGACGCGGCATGCCGGCGTCGCCGTCTTCACGTTCCCCACCGCCGTCTCCTCTACATTCCTTCCAGTTCCGTTCCGGCTGCTCCTCCTTTCATAGCCTTTCATGCTAGGACTCCCAGACACTCAGTCGCTACACCTGCTTCGTGTCTCGCTCTCATGCCTACGGTGATTCGCACGGGGACATTTCTGGAGGACGTTGGATTGGTACGCCTGCCGCATCAATCGGATTCCTAGTCGTCTCACCCGAGTGCAGTCTCGACCTTTGGATTTGTTGAAAGTGGTCTATCGGTGCCCGGTATCTCACGGAAACGCAGGTTCTTCGTGGTCGATCGAAAGCGCCGCGGCGAAGGGGAATTCAAGGTTTTGGGATCAATTTGGGATCGACGGGAAATGTTGGTGCCTACCATTCATTCTTCGTCTCTTGCTCTTATCCCTCCAAATCCAGATATACACAGTTACTATTCAACAAAAGCCCACTTGTGATTGTAAGATCATCGCTTGCGAGCATGAAAGGAAACCATTGTAAACATATCGTACATCCACTGGATCGAGTTCGCTCGTCTGATACTGACATTTATCTTCTTCCAACTCTTAGTTATTCATCTATCTCAAAGGTCAGCCTCCCGCGCAAAAGCGCAACCTGTCTTAACTCGTACACGATCCAGTTCTCCAAGTCACCCAAGCGTCTGCACTTTGGTATCAAATGTTCGTCTTGGTATTATCCCTTTGAAACTAATCGCTTATCCGTCCTCAGAGCACTCTTGACAAACGAGCTCGAAACGATCTTCGCAAACGCGCCCCTAGCCCCCAATGCCCAAGCCCACCCACGCGTCCGCGAAGCCTACGCCCGCGCCACAGGGAAATCTCAAGCCCCATCTACGCCCGAAGAATCTACTGGTCCGAAGAAGCGGGTCCCTGGCGAAGACGATGACTGCCCCATCTGCTACGACAACATGCACGGCGCCGCCGAGGGCTCGCTCACGTTTTGCGAAGAGTGCGACAGCGCGGTGCACGGGGAGTGCTTCGCCCATTGACAGTGTACGTACTAGTACTATACCTTCTATCCTCTGGACGTGGTGTTGAATGTGAACATTAACCGTTCAGGGAAACAAACCTCTGCGGAACAGGGCACTAAGCTCACTTGCATCTAATGCCGTTTGGCCGGGCCCTGCGGCAGCCGGAGGTGCCCGCGGCTCGGGTGCACGCACGACATATGGAGAATACATCAATATATCGAATGTGGCGGGGGTGAGCCCGCAGCGCGACACGACAACTTGTGTGTCTTAAGCTGTGGCCACGTTCTTCCTAATCACTGTTGCTTAGAATATCATGGACCCCGAAGAGGGCAGCGTTATTACAGTTACAATGAATAAGAGGATGACTGAGTGTGAGTGCGCTGTCCTGCTTGAGCCTATTCGGTCTCACTGTCTCTCGAAGCAAGGGCATAGAACAAAGTCAACGATATCGACCGGTGTACAGCACGATTTTTTGAAATCATATCGAGCATGTATCAGCATATGCGCCTTTTCTCGGAGACATTTTGGCTGTAATATGTAACACATCGCCGAAAACTCGATCCTTCACAAATTACGGACAATATTTAAGCTGGACAGCATCGGTAGCGCTACGGAGCGCTAAACCATACAGCCGGCGCGGTCCGAACAATCATTTGCGCCTGAACTATGCAGTGCGCACATGTAGCTCACGAAGACGATGCAGGCGCTATGCAGCCGGGTGACATGGCACCCCGGATTATTTTAGTTCGGGGATCTGGAGAGTCTGCTCCCGGTCTCATAAACTGGGAACACTCTCACTGTCTTCCATCCGGCCATTCGTCGATGCGTTTGAATTTAGATGGTACCCAGAACATTGGGAGTACATGTCGCAAGTCACATTATGCGCCAGATCGCTGTGGAATGCATGGGGTTCGGGCACTCGTTGAGATTATGCGTTGCATTGGCCACGATTTACAGTAATGGTGGAGAAGCGTCTCTCGGATTTGATTGTGGGTGTTACATAAATATGTATCCTCATTTGTGGCGGGAGGGTCGAAGATTTGGTTTGCTGTGGTTGTACACAAAGTTATTCGACCAGGTTCTTCAGCGATGTCATTGATATACGACCATCTGACGAATTGTTCCTATAGTGCACTGAGGTAGTGGGAACGTCCTTCTCATAAATCAGAGTTAACCCAGATCTAGAATACAAAAGAGCATCGGTGCTCCCTCAACGTTCTTCGGGGAAATCTGTAGGTAAGTATATTGTACGAATCAAGATACATTTCATGTTGGTCCTACGATTAAATCGGATAGTCGTTTCTCGATGATCAAGTCATCGGCATAATTATAGGGCATAATTTCATCTAGCGCTCGAATCCAACTCTCCCCGCAATGGAGATCAGGAGCAAAATGGGCCTTGCAATACTCCCAGTGTTCCGGGTACCAGCTAAAATGGAGGGACTCGATAAGAAATCGTGCAAGGAACGGATGTCAGACCCACCCTGAATTCTCCCAATCGATAAGTCCAACCACAACATCACCTCGCACCATTATATTGCGTGGCGCCAGATCCCCGTGCGTAAATACGATCCGATGCGTGTCACATCAGTTTTCGAGTTTCGTCGAGGAAAGGATGTGGTGGGGAATTTCCCTGGGCATGTTTGACGAGGAAGTCGTTGAATTCTGCCTCGTTTTTGAAAGGCCCGAACGGTACCATACTCGCGACCCGCGCGTCTTTGCACTTCCTGTTATAGAGCCCGGAGATTGCATAAGGACTTTGGGGCGGAAGCGCGCGAAGCCCGACCACTATGTTCCGCAACTGGCGAACAACGTTGGCCTGCTCTTCCTCTGTCATGTCCGCCCAGACGGCGTCAAGAGGAACCCCGTCGATGCGTTTCATGACCATGAAATGATCCAGAAAACCGGTGGCGCTGACAACGATTTCGGGGAGGGGGATTGTGGTACGCTTTTTAAGATAGCGTATGACTTCGGCCTCGTTGGTGCCCTCCAAGATCCCAGTTTTGATGATTAAATTCTGCGAGAGCGGTCTAACCCGGCCATATTGGCGACCATTGTATCTGAATGCCCAACGGTTCACCAGCCAGAGTACAAGGCAAAGGGGATAGTTCGGAGAAGTCCTCATGTATCTGTAGTTGCCAGTCGGTGTCGTGGATGCGGTTTACATGCAGTTGTCACACGCGTTATGTGTGACGCGACATATCAAATGTGGCTATCGGGTGGCTATGCGGCTTCACTTGACACCAATCCGACTGCTGAGCGTCTTGTCTGCTGAAACTTGTCAACCCTGAGGTGAGGCCCGAGACTCAGAGGTCGCTCTCGCAGTCCAGTCTGCAGGGCTCTGAGCTTGATCATCGGCTATCGGTGCGTGCGTCACGGACCGACAGTCCTTTGTTCTCTCTTTGTCTTAATCTGACTTTTATTGTCTCGACCCACTGACCGCTTATCATCGATGTCCCTCAATATATTCCAACTGCGGTCAAACCGGAACTTCTGGGCTCACATCGCGTCCTCACCTCCTTGTCGCCTTGTATCCTCTTCAGCTACCCGTCGGAAGATCCAATAGTTGCCATCTCATTTGCTTGGATCCTTGAATAGGCTCCGGAAAATGGATGATACGCGGCATTCCCTTGTTCTGTCTTTTCTTTTGTCTCTCGGCACACCTTGAGGCCTATAAAGGTCTTATAATACACTATTTCCACCTCACCTCGCACTGTTAGCTTGCTTCACCGGCCGACGAAGGCAACTTTCGTAAGCTCTGTCTTTGATCCCTCAATGCATTCTTATTTTGATAGACTGGCACCAATTCTACCATGGGGAGCATTGCTAATAAACTATTTAATTCCTCGTTTCCCATCGTCATTGCGCAATACACTAGAGACGGCTATGGTGCTGGAAACGAGGAGCATCTTCGTTGGGCGCTTATGGTCGTCGTTAAAGATGCCGCACTTGAAGGTCCGACCTGGCACGCGATCGACAAACATTGGGCGGACGGTGGAGTAACTTGGGAGCGAGCCTATCTCCCAAAGGCCAGTCTCTTGCGGACGAACAAATGCATCGGTCTGGTTCAAATTGGTGCTGTTAAAGCCCGGGATTTAAAATCGCTCATTGCCGTAGTTGGCGACGAGGATCCAATGAAAGGGCATCCAGTTTCTCCCAGTTTTGCGGGTTGGAGGTGTAAAGACTGGGTGCTTGAAGTCGTTGAGATCCTCAGGATCCAGAACAAAGGCTGGATCGACGCAACCTTAGTGCCGGCTGGACGTCCAGCGATCCGTCAAATGTTCTATCCAGCATTGCGGCGCGTTTCCGAGGCCACACAGATGGCGAGACAGGTGGACCCTAGCTCGCCACCGGCCGTTGAGTGGCTTAGGCTGGAATAATCACAGAGGCAACTTTATTTTCATATACTGCAATACTTCATGAACTGATGACGAAGTGCTATGTAGATTATTCCAAACCTTTATACGCGTTCGACTGTACTTATATCTCATGATCTACTATTACGCCCAATAGTTCTGAATTTGCACTATGGGTCTGGTTTCGCCGGCGCCGAATTCTTCGTCTTGATCCAGAGTGTTTTTGCGGTCACGGTAACCACATGTACATGTACTAGTAACCTACGAAGAACGCCATCAAAATCAGGCTATTTGAGGAAAATACCTCCCGTCACGGTGTTCGGACTTGGTATTCATTGCGATGACTTGGAGGACTACTTGGACCGACGGTCTTTCGCACATAATGACCCACAGAGTCAGACATTCACCTGGAATCCTAAGGATTCAAACTGGTAGCATACTCACGACAATCCCCCTAGTTTTATCGCCGGAATCTAACGACCGCGACCACCTTCCTCTAAAATTTGGGAAAGGCCGCCGCACAATTTTGGGGTGTCTACCAGGGCTTTCATAACTCTCATCCGAACTCTCGATGTGTCATTGAATTGGAGTAATGATCTACATTGACCTGTGGCCCACCTTCAAGAGAGAATGAAAAGGATAAGGAAACCAAAATAAAATAAAACGCCGCGACAAAGATTACCCTCGAGCCTCCGCCTTCCTCTAAAATTGTGGTACAGAGTCAACAGCATACCTTGATCCACCAGGGCTCTGTAGTCTGTACGTCATCGGAGCTCTCGATGTATCACGGAGTTGGAGTAACATACCAAACAATAAAAAACATTTCGACCCAAACTATGCCTGAGGAGGATTCGAACCTCCATCTGCCCTAGACGGCGTGAACCAGCGTCAAGGATTAGGGATGATCTACGTTGATCTATCAGGGCTTCATAACACCTATTTAGATTCTGGATTTATGGCCGACTTTAGAGAGGATGGCAGAATGGAAAGGATAGAGCAACCACAATAATATAGAAAGCACATGAACATCTGATGCTCTAGAGAAGATTCGAACCTCCACTTTCCTCTAAAATTGCAGGAGATCTTCAGCGGACAATTTGAGGGTGATCCACCAAGGCTTCCCAACTCTGATCTGAGCTCTCGATATATCACCGAGTTGGAGTGGGTTCAGTACACACCAAAAAAGCAAAGTATCAACAGGCTACGCCCTGAAGAGGATCCGAACCTCCATCTTCCCTAGACTTTCTGTCTTTGAAGAGGCTCATCAAGAATCAGGGACAATCTACATTGATCCACCAGGGCTTCATTGCACCTATTCGGATTCTGGACTTGCAACTGACTTTCGAGAGGGTGGGGGAATGAAATGGATAAAGAAACCAAAATAAAATATAATAAAAAAAGGTACATAGCAGCGAGGACGATGCCCTAGGGAGGATTCGAACCTCCAGTCTCCTCTAAACCTTGGACAGATTGCATATAATTTGGGGGTGATCTACCTTGATCTACCAGGGCTTTCTAACTCTCATTCGAGCTCTTGATGGATCACCGAGTTGTAGTAACGTGCCCAAAACAAAAAAGCTACGCCCTGAGGAGGATTCGAACCTCCATCTTCCCTAGACTTTTGAAGATTGAAAAGCGTTAAGAATTAGGGACGATCTACATTGATCCACCTGGGCTTCATTGCACATATTCGGATCCTGGACTTATAATAGGCGATTTTCGAGAAGGTGAGGGAATGGAAAGGATAGAGTAACCAAAATAAAATAGAATAAGGTACATAGCAGCGGGGACGATGCCCTAGGGAGGATTCGAACCTCCATTCTCCTCTAAACCTTGGACAGATTGCATATAATTTGGGGGTGATCTACCTTGATCCACCAGGGCTTCTGGAGTAACGTGCCCAAAACAAAAAAGCTACTGAGGAGGATTCGAACCACCATCTTCCCTAGACTTTCTGTCTTTGAAGAGGCTCATCAAGAATTAGGGATGACCTTGATCCACCAGGGCGTTCTAACTCTCATCTGAGCTCTCCATGGTGCCGAGTTGAATGGGTGCAGTACCGCACAAAAAAAACCAATTGGCATCACAAGTTACGCCCCGAGGAGGATTCGAACCTCCATCTTCCCCAGACTTTTGCGGAATAGTGTCAAGAATTAGGGACGATCTACATCGATCCACCAAGGCTTCATTACACCGATTCGGATTCTGGATTTTTAGGCGATTTTCGAGAGGGAGAGGGAACCGAGATAAAGGTTTTTTTTTTTAAAAAAAACCCGCCACCCTAGGAAGGAATCGAACCTGCGCCTTCCTCTAAATTGTGGTAACGGTCATCGAACAATTTAGGGGTGATCTACCTTGATTCACTAGGGCTTTCCAACTTTCATCCGAACTCGCAATTTATCACCGAGTTGGAGTAACGTACAAAAAAAAAAACATAACTTGCAGCAAACTATACCCTGAGGAGGATTCGAACCTCCATCTTCCCTAGACAATTTTCACGTTGGAACAGCATCAAGAATTAGGGACGATCTATGTTGATCCACCAGGGCTTCATTACACTGGTTCGGATTCTGGACTTGCAACTGACTTTCGAGAGGTGAGGGAATGAAATGGATAAAGAAACCAAAATCAAAGATAATAAAAAATGTACATAGCAGCGAGGACGATGCCCTAGGGAGGATTCGAACCTCCATTCCCCTCTAAACCTTGGACAGATAGCTTATAACTTGGGGGTGATCTACCTTGATCCACCAGCGCTTTATAACTCTCATCCGAGCTCCTGATGGATCACCGAGCTGATGTGGGCTCAGCAACACACCGCCCCCCCAAAAAAAATCTGTACGACAGCATCGACGCCCTGAGAAGGATTCGAACCTCCACCTTCCTCCAACATGCTAGTAGAGACGATGAATAATTTGGGGGTGATCTACCTTGATCCACCAGGGCTTTCTAACCCACATCCAAACTTTCGATAGCAATCTATTAACACACAAAAAAGAAAGAGGAAAATTCGACAGAACTACACCCTGAGGAGGATTCGAGCCTCCATCTCCCCCGGACTTTTGCGGAATGGTGTCAAGAATCAGGGATGATCTATGTTGATCCACCAGGGCTTCATTACACCGATTCGGATTCTGGATTTATTGCCGATCTCCGATTCAAACCTCCGTCTGTCTTCCCTAGACTTTTATGGACAAAAACCGTCAAGAATTAGGGATGATCTACATTGATCCGCCAGGGCTTCAATGTAGATCATTCGAATCCTGGATTTATGGCCGCCTTCCGAGAGGATGAGGGAATGGAAAGATGGAAACCAAAAGCAATTAAACCAAAAAGACAAAGCATTCCAGTGTAATGCCCTAGGGAGGATTCGAACCTCCACCTGCCTCTAAAATCTCACTAAAGACAGCACACAATTTGAGGGTGATCTACCTTGATCCACCAGGGCTTCCCAACTCTGATCTGAGCTCTCGATATATCACCAGGTTGGAGTGGGTTCATTAACACTCCCCCCTCAAAAAAGAAGAAAGAAAGAAAAGGACAGAGAACCCTTTTCTACGCCCAAAGGAGGATTCGAACCTCCATCTTCCAAGAACTAGGGATGATCTACATTGATCCACCGGAGATTCATTGCAAATATTCGGATTCTGAAGTTATTGCCGACTTCGAAGAGAGAGGGAGTTAGTATTTGAACCACCCCTGTCCTCCAAAATTGCACAACATGTGATGCACATGACAGTTTGGGAGAGAACTTTGATGATCCAGCAGAGCTTCCCAACTCTCATCTGAGCTCTCCATGGTGCCGAGTTGAATGGGTGCGGTAACACACAAAAAAAGTATTGGTCACCCAAACCACGCCCTGGGGAGGATTCGAACCTCTGTCGTCCCCAGACTTTTGCGGAATAGTGTCAAGAATTAGGGACGATCTGCATTGATCCACCAAGGCTTTACTGCACCTATTCGGATCCTAGCTTTATGGTTGGCTTTGGAGAGGGTGAGGGAATATAAAGAAAGAAGAAAGCAAAATAAAATAAAAAGGCATCGCGTCAGCTGTAATACACCCTAGGGAGGATTCGAACCTCCACCTTCCTCTAAAATTGCAGGAGGAGATCTTCAGCGGACAATTTGAGGCTGATCCACCAGGGCTTCCCAACTCTGATCTGAGCTCTCGATATATCACCGAGTTGGAGTGGGTTCAGTACACACCAAAAAAGCAAAGTATCAACAGGCTACACCCTGGGGAGGATTCGAACCTCCATCTTCCCTCAACATTTTTCGGCAGCATCAAGAATCAGGGACGATCTACATTGATCCACCAAGGCTTTACGGCACCTACTCGGATTCTGGACTTATAGACGATTTTCGAGAGGGTGAGGGAATGAAAGGGAGAATAAAGAAAAATAGTAAAGGATAATTCCCCTAGACTTTTTCAAGAAAACCTTTAAGAATTAGGATGATCTACATTGATCCACCAGGGCTTCATTGCACCTATTCGGTTCCTAGCTTTATGGTTGACTTTCGAGAGGGTGAGGGAATATAAAGAAAGAAGAAAGCAAAATAAATAAAAGATGCAGCCAGAGCTTCCTCTAAAATTCATTGACAGAGCACAATTTTGGTGATTTACTTTGATCCACTAGGGCTTTATAACTCTGATCTGGAGACTCGCCGTATTACTGGGTTGGAGTGGGTTCAGTAACACACCAAAAAAAAATAGGGTAAAAAAGCTAGATACCCAGAGCAGGATTTGAACCTCCGTCTTCTTCAGACCTTTTCAAGGAAACCTTTAAGAATTAGGGCTGATGTACGTTAATCCATCAGGGCTCCATTAAAACTGTTCGGTTCCTGGAATTATGGCTGACTTTCGAGAGGGAGGAATGAGGTGTCAATATTTGGACCACCGTCTTCATCAAGCCTTCCTGTAAAATTGCAGGAGATTTTAGCGGACAATTTCAAGGTGATCTACTGGTCCATCAGGGTTTTATAACTCTCATCCTCCCCCCCAAAAAAAGGAATTTGGCCCACTACATTTACACCCTGAGGAGGTTTCGAACCTCGATCTTGTTACAAGCTGGACATGCAAGCATTAGGGATGATCTACATTGATCCACCAGGGCTTCATTGCACCTATTCAGACTATGGAATTATGGCCAACTTTCGAGAGGGTGAGGGAATGAAATGGAAAAGGATGAAAAACTAAAATAAAGTAAAAAAGACGCTGCCAGAGAGATAATGTCTAGGGAGGATTCGAACCTCCGTCTTCCTAGATACAGAATTAGGGTTCTGCGTTGATCCTCCGGGTCAAAGATCTAACCTACGTTGATCCATCCTCTGATCTCATACGACAGCTAGGAAGGGACGGCAAAAACATCGCAAGAAGTCAATATATGCTCCAGGGAGGACTCGAACCCCCGCCTTCCCTATACCCATAGATTCTTCAATGAAAGATCGGGGTGATCTACGTTGATCCACCGGGGCTTGTATATTGAGATTCGAACCTCGATTTTATCACACTCTTTAGAGCAGGAGAAAAGAGAGAAAAGAGGCGAAAGGGAAAGAATTCAATGGTAATGGGAGAGGATTCGTGTCTTCAAGCTAGATTCATTCATGCCATTCATGCTATACATAAGGATAGGGAATCGGACGATATGTGATGAACCACAGGACTTTTATACCTAAACTTACACCCTGATTACATTCCACATTGAGAAGGAAAAGCTCATTGGCTTGGAATAGCCCTGGGGAGGGTCCGAACCTCCATTTCCCCTTTCAACTTGAGTTGCGCCAGAAATCAACAAGGACTAGGTATGATCCAAAGTATCTTAATAGCGTGTTTGTGCAACTGCCATTGGAGCCACCTCGTGGCCGATTTGCAGTGCGCAAAAATAGCAGGCGAATGGCTCCACCAAGCCATTCGTCGGCCTCTCACGTCATATTTTGGCGGTGGAGCCATCGATTTGCACACAGCATTTGAGCCACCATGTGGCTCCAATGGCTGATGCACAAACACTCTAATCACTGGGGCTTCCTACTATCATTCGGATTCTGGGTGTATCATCAACTTCCTAGAACGTAAGGCCACTAAAAAAACAAGAACACTAAAGAACGATGCCCTGAGGAGGATTCGAACCTCCATCTGCCCTAGATACGAGAACTTACGATTACAGCCAATGTCAGTACCGAGGGCGCGGATCGAAAATTTTCTGTTTTGGGATGTTTCCCGAGAATTCCCTACATCTGTCAGTTCTTCACCGATTCACATAAAAACTAAATAGATCTACTCAGCTAATTCATGCACAATTAGTGATAGAGATGAACTTGCGAAATATTATGTATTAGGTAATTTCTGCTTTGGGGCTGTTTTTGCACTGAATACTGTCTAGCATGGCTAGAACATGTCCCAGTGACCTAGAATTTTGGGAGGGACAACGTGTATATGTTATGAAACATGTGATAGAGCCAGAACTATATGAAATGTCCAGATGAATGTGATCTTGGCAATATCTCTGAAAGCCAAAAACTGCCGAATGTTTTCACTGGAGCTAGAAGGACTGTAACTAAATTATCCTCACTTCTGGCTCTATCACATGTTTTTCAGGTATGCATGTTGTCGTGCCCAAAATTCTAGGTCACTGGGACATGTTCTAGCCATGCTATACAGTATTCAGTGCAAAAACAGCCCCAAAGCAGAAATTATCTAATACGTAATATTTTCGCAAGTTCCTCTCTATCACTAATTGTGCATGAATTAGTTGAGTAGATCTATTTAGTTTTTATGCGAATCGGTGAAGAACTGACAGAGATATAGGGAATTCTTTGGAAACATCCCAAAACAGAAAACTTTCGATCCGCGCCCTCGGTACTGACATCGGCTGTAACAATTAGGGATGATCTACATTGATCCACCAGGGCTTTCTTCTTCTAATCCTAACCTACCCATTCTTTGGCCATTTTCCTGTACCACTAACAGAAATTCAACACATTTTGAAGTTGAACCTCAGAGACCGTGAGAAAGACGCGCCACTCACATGACGCGGTTGATCCCGGTCCGTTCCATTCCGGCTGCACCGCTGCACTTCTCCTTGCAGTCTCAGAGCCAGACTCCCTGACACTCAGTCGCTCTTGCTGCTCCTGCCTCGTGTCCGGCTCTCATTCCTACGATGAATTGCACGGGGACTGTTCTGTGCCATTTCTGAAGGACGTTTGATTGGTACGCCTGCCGCATCAATCGAAATCCTACTCATTTCATCCCAGTGCATAGTCTTGACTTTTGGATTTCTTTGAACTCGGGACTGCGCTGTACGCTGGCCTCGCCGTCATACTAGCCAATAAAAATGTGTAGCTGATGTACTCGCAGGAACGGATAGCGACAAAGACAATGACCGAAGACATGCCCCGCACGCGCTCGTGCTCCCCTCCACGGCCCGCGCTTCATTCAGCGGCACCTCCGAGCTGCAGCGCAAATCTGCCTCCTTCTCGCTGCCCTCCGCCGACAGACCTCTTCCCCAAGTGGGCTATACCGCAGGCCCTCCACCGCGGACCTCAAGCCGACTACTATACCGCGACGACGGCCAACCCTCGGGCCGAATACCCCATCGTGACTCCTCCTTTCGTGCGCGAACTCTCCGAGTCTGCCCTTGCGTGTCAACTCTCTGTCCTCACCTTCGCCCAGTCGCCATCTTCAAGTTCTCCGCCGCCCGTCTCCTCCGTATTCCCTCCCCAGTCCTCATCTGCATTCCACGTCTTACATCCATGTCAACCCGGACATTCTTTCCCCTTGCTCATTCTCCCCTCCGATCCACGCCCATCCCTCATCCCAGCGTTTGACGCTTTAGATCTCTGCCGATGCACTCTTTCCTCGTCCGCCCGTCCGTCCGTCCCCATCTCCATCTCCGCGCTCAATCCCTTCCTCCCTCTCTTGACACACGTACTCGTTCCCTCTTTCTGTCACCTTTCCTCGCCGCTCCTCGGTCGATCGATTTTATTTCCATCGACTCCCTACCCATCCCACAGCGATCGTCTCCTCCTCCTCCTACTCCCCCACCCTCATTCACTTTCCGCAGCGCATCTACGTCTCCATCCTCATTCCCTTCTCCGCCCTTCCCTCCCCCATTCTCTTGCCCAATATTTTTGATTCCTGATTCCTGATTCTCCGCTCCCTCATCGTCAATGGCTTCTTCCTGCCGTGTTCCTTCGTTCGGTCCTGCTCCTTCATACATATATTTACTACACGTACTCGACCGTCTCCTCACTGTCAATGTTCTCCCCTACGATCCGCGGGCACCCTCGGTCCTGTGCTCCCTCCCGCGCAGACCCTCCGTCCCTCGTTCCTGTTATGCTCCCTCACTTGCATCCCTTCGTCACCTGTCTCCACACTCATCGTTAACTGTTCCCTATCTCCATCTCGCGTGCAATTTCTCTCTCCAATACATACGCTCCAATACATACACAATTACTCTGCCCCTCCTTTTGCGAGTATCTTTCGGTGTAGGCGGGCTTCGCTGAATCCGCTTGAGTTAGGGCTAGGGCGACGCATTGTTCGATGTGATCTGCGAGCGGCTCTTTTTTGTGGGAGCCTGAGCATTAGAGTTGAACGTGCTCGACTCGTGGGATTGGGATTGGGATCCCCCAGTGCGAAAAATACGAGTACAGAGCGAGGGTGGAGCTGAAAATAAGGATTAATGCTGCGACGTCTCCGACGCACGTACCTTTGGAGGACCGGATCAGAAACCAAACTAGATAATCTAAAGAGAAAGTCTGTGCCGCCGTTTCGAGCGGTTCTTTACCAAGGAACGATGGTTGTGTTGGATAATCTACTAAGGATTCAGATGAGCTAAGTTAGGCCGCAGCGTGTTTGGAAAAATTCCAGAGAAATATTTGAATTGTGGATATCCAGTTATTTGGATAGG